CACTAAATATGTGCTATTTGCTGCCCAGCTGGCAAAAAAATTTGCGCCTCTTGACATAGATACACCCCTTTTTTCCACCGCGATGTGTTTGTGGGGAGTTGACGCGCTCTAATCATATTTACACTTTTCGGCGCGCGCATCGTAAATTTTCAAAATGCATTTTTGGGACTGGCATATCAAGAGTCTCGCTTCCGATTCAAACCTCTTTGTGTCTCGTTAACCATTGTGCCAATATCACCTTTGCAGAGAGCTTTTGTTGAAAGAGATATGCCCAAGCTATCTTCTGCAGAGAAAGGTGAGTGTTAGAGATTTCGCTTGCTTTGTGAATGCACTAAGCTATTTCTTTAAGTTATTCGTGTTTTATTTAGAGGAGCAAGCACGTTTGAGCGAAGAAATTGAGCACTTCACCCAACAAGCAGATGATCTTCTTGGCGAGGTGTGTTAGGTGTTTTTAACAATACAATACATGGCAGACGCTAAACAATGTGTCAGGCAACTTTTTATGAATTATCGATTGTTTATCTCTTATTCTGATGTATGTTTCGTGATTTCAGGTAGTAAGCAAGCGGAAAGACTATCCACATTTTATCGTCAAACTAGAGGAAAATAGATTACGCGAGAAGTTTGTACGTCTGGTGAGAGGATTCTCCATCAGATGATCGCTTGTGATTTATCTGCTTTAGCTCGAATCGCCGCTATTATCAGTCTCCTCTCCCGCTCATATAGATGTTGAAGAATTGAATAGGACTATCGCAATGAAAGTGGATCAAACGAAAATCCATTCAGAAAAAGTTGAAGATATCAGGAAAGAGAATGAAAAGGTAGGCGGACTTTTCTTGGTAGAAAAAAAGATGGCATCTGGATGGAGAGGGAGACTTTGCTGAGCTTCCTAATTCTGAAATTCGGCGAGTTTTTCTATTCCATGCTATTTCGTTTGTTGTTTTTGGCATTAGGTGTGGAGTTTCTTGGACTGATCGAGCAGTTACTGTTTATCTATCTTGATCAAGTGCTCAATCACGCAATGTTCGTCTTTATAAATGAAGTATGACCGTAAATGACTAATTCAAAAATATTTCGCTGTTTCAGACTTTTTATAGAACTTAAGAAAGAATGCCCATCTTTAATGAAGAATGCATATCCTGAAATGATCTTTTTTATTACCCAAAGCGTGTTCAGTCGACGTTAGATGGACCACAAAAAGGGCGAGTGAATTTTCAAGGGTTTTTTATCCGCTATCATCATTAGATTGTTTCTTCCAATCAAACCAGTGGTTAAAAAACTCGAAATAATC